TTCATTTTGGGTGGAACAGGGTTAAAAAAAGCTTATTGGAAGATACTAGCAAAGCATCTTATATTTTTCCCTTACCTTAGCATTATTCTAATAAACTTAGGGAAGTTGGTTCTCATCAGAAAAATAATGGATGCAGCACATAAATATAACTTGAAAGTACTGTATCTGGGCAAATGTAACTGGTTCAACTAGTTATTAAATGCTTGGAAGTAGTAGGGCAACTTCCTTTACATCTTAAGGAGGGGACAGCCTTCTCTCACTCTAGATTGCCAGATGTGAGAAATGTTGTTTACTTTATAGCTTTCCCTGCTTGTATGCCGATCATTATTTTTATTCTTATTTTTGCAACCTTATGGACCTGATAGCACCTCCTGAAAAATGAAGGGCTCGTAGACTTTGTTAATAGCTTGCTGCCACATTTTTGTATATTCTTTTAGTATTTGATTGGTGGAAATATTTCTTTTTTATCTTTCCATGTATTTATAACATGTAACCAATTTTTTTTTTGGTAAGGACAATAGTGTGACATGTGCTGCAGCTTTAGTCAACTTTTATTTTTATTATTTAAAAAAAGGCAGGTTGGGTTAATAGACCTGCCTGCAAGATTGCAATTTAATAAACCAAGGAATGAAGGGAATTTCAGTGCCATTTACTAGAAAGCCCCTTTTTTTCTATTAGCATACACAGTTATTCTCTGAGATGACGGTCAGTTCTTAAGTAGGTGAGAGATGAATTCAACTCCAGCAAACACAGAAATACCAACCTGTTGAAATTGTTGATAAGAAGGCTTAAGGCAAAATTCCAGTTGCTGTGTTCACTGAGAAAATAAATGAAACCACTGGGTGTGACTTCTTCTACTGCAAAGGTTTTGTTGTTGTTGTTTTTTGTAATGTGTTTCTTTATACTCCTCAGGAGAGCTCAACACCAAAAAGCCGAATAGAATAAAGCTGTTTCTTGCTATTAAAAAAAAGTACCTAAGCCAAATCAGAATACAGTATACGTTCCCTTTGGTACTGTCCTTCTGAGAATGTTGATTGCTTCTATTGGTCTATAAGAGGGAAAGAAGGGGGGGGGACTTCCCAAGTCCACTGCTGGGTAATACTTTTATTAAAGGTAAAGGTATCCCTGCCCGTTCGGGCCAGTCTTGCCAGACTAGGGTTGTGCACTCATCTCACTCTATAGGCCGGGAGCCAGCGCTGTCCGCAGACACTTCCGGGTCACGTGGCCAGCGTGACAAGCTGCATCTGGCGAGCCAGCGCAGCACCCGGAATGCCGTTTACCTTCCCGCTGGTAAACGGTCCCTATTTATCTACTTGCACCCGGAGGTGCTTTCGAACTGCTAGGTTGGCAGGCGCTGGGACCGAACGACGGGAGTGCACCCTGCTGCAGGGATTCGAACCGCCGACCATGCAATCGGCAAGTCCTAGGCGCTGAGGTTTTACCCACAGCGCCACCCGCGTCCCATAATACTTTTATTAGGAGCAACCCAAAAGTCACAGCAATGTGGCAAACTGCTCGGTTCTCCAAAATTCTTCAACAGGACAGATGGTATACAAAGCAGGGGATGTCAGACCGCCAATAGCAGTTTGAAGAACCTCCATAGTGCAGGATTATGGTTTGACTGTAATCTGCCCCACAGGCCCAGATGTGGATCTGGGCAGATGGTTTACAGAGGCCCAAAGGACCTAGCTGCAGGGATTCCAAAGGAGGATGAATGAAGTGCCAGTGATCCGTTCTAAAGCTTCACTTATAATGCAATGCAGAGATCCTCTTTGTTATGACTTGGGACAGACTGCAAAAACAGCAAGCGCAGAGCCAACCCCTTCCCATGAGGCTGGATGAGGTGGCTGCTTCAGGCGGCAGTCTCCAAGGAGCGTCACCCCAGTTCTGCGAACCAGCTTTGCCGCTGGTCTCCCTAGCCTCTAGGGGCAGAGAGCGACCAGCAGCAAAGATCTGGCTCCTCCTCCTGCCAAGTTGGTGAGAGGGGGAAGCATTCCACCATCCAGCTTTGCCATCAGACAAGGAGATGATTCTCCACTCCTGGCTGTGTGGCATGGTTTTGCACTGGCTTCTCTTGAAGGGAGTAGCCAATGAAAAGCCCTGCTGTCGAGTGAGAGGGCTTGGGGATTCAGAAAGGATTTACCTGCCTGATTGGAGAGACTCCTTGTGGAGTTTGCACTATCATCAATGGGGGGGGGGTAGCAGAGGGCTTTTTCACTGCAGCTGCCAAAGTGCCTCAGGCCCCCCATGACCAAGTGCATCATGACTGTCCATACCCGGGCAAGCATTACATGCGTTACTTACACAGAAACATCCTATGTACGGTAGTCTGCCAGCTATAGTCTAGTAGTTAATCACACCTGCCTTTGTGGTCTCTTCCCAACTCCCTCCCATCCCTCCCTCAGACGAGGGAATAGGTTGGCAGGCATCCATGTTGCACGGGTAGCTCACAACTCCCTAGGCCAAGCTCTCAAAGCAAGCAGATCTTGCAGCACGGACCAATTAGCACCAGGTTATCTTGACTACCAAATGCTGTTTACAGGCCTTCTGGGACCGTTTCACCGCCTGGCTTTGCACAGACTGATAAGCTATTATTGCATGTTGAACTCAAGAGGAGCATGATATGCTAAAGTAAGGTCTGGGGTGGTGTAGTAAAGCTTTGCCAAACCAATGTGGTGGCACATCTTTACATGAGAGCCACCATGTTGAACATGGATGGGAAGGCTGTGAGATCTTGCTGAACTCACAATTTTTAGCAGCCTCAACCAGCATGGCCAAAGGTCAACAAAATCCGGTGGACCATGGGTTTCCTACCCCTTATGCAGAACAATTTAAAGTGACAGTCGTGATATCTAAACCAGTCTTCTTCTGGCATAGTTCATTTACCAGGCCAACAAAATTTTTGTGTGGTAATGGCGAAGGCACACTCTTCTTCCTTTGAGGATATAGATAGTGCCACATGTGACATAGGTCCTCTGTGTGAGTGCCCAGTTTACATTGTCTCCTACCTTTTTTGATGACACCCATTTGCCACCCAATGAACATATGACAAAGGACACAGCTCTGTATAGAAAGTGCAAGGGATAATATATTCTTATATTAGCTTTTAATGTTCGGATGTGTTTGTCTAGAATGATGACCAAGCGACATCCCTCATATTTTGTATTTCCCTATCATACCTTATTCAGTGCCAGAATTTATATAGTATGCCAACTAGCACTGAATTTTCTTATGTCCCATGCTTGTTTCGTTTGGTGTGTTTTTCCCCCATATTAAGTGAAACAGAGCTCTTTTGTTAAGATGATCTAACTCTTCACCATTCAGTCTGTCACAAAAGCTTCACAGTGTGTAGTAAATTAATAATGGTTCAGTAAGGCTATTCAGTCGATTCTTGCGTGTTTTTGGATGGCATGAAGTAAGGGCAAGCCTCTAGGTTCCTGTTTACTCAGTGGAAACAAATAGAATTGGTGGGAGTTTTTGTCTGAGTAAAAAAATAGGGAAAAGCTTTACTCTTAAGCCTGGAAGGGTCTGAGTTGTAAGGCTTGGCTTTCAACATTGTCAGAAGTAATTGGTATTAAATACTGTACATGGATTGTGTTTTGCTTGTGATATGCCTTTCTACAACATAATCCATTTTTTCTTATACAAATAATTCTATCTGTAAAATATTTGGAATGTATTTGATCAGATGCCCCTGTCAAAATTTTGCTGCCACCACCACACATTTTTTAAGGTCAGTGGTGCATTTTGAATTTTTGAGCCGGCGACGTGGATAACATCCCATTTGGTCACTTAGAATCATAGAATCGTAGAGTTGGAAGGGACCAAGATGGTCATCTAGTCCAAACCCCTGCAATGCTGAAATCTTTTGCTCAAGGTGGGGCTTGAACCCACCTTCCTGAGATTAGGAGTCTCATGCTCTGCTGACTGAGCTGTCTACTTCTTGCTCCCTTTTCTTGGGTTTCTCACACACATAGAGGCAGAAAGAGAAAGTGCCTGCATGGACACACTTTGCTTTTTTGACGTATGTGGTTCGAAGCTGGATCAAGTAGAACTAAACAGAGCCCTGAAAAGCACATAAAGCTGAAAGAGGAAGTGAGAGTGTCACTCTTTCAACTTCTTTCAGTTCACTTGCTTTTCAGGAGAAAAGTTAACCACCATCGCCATCCCATGACCAAGGGGGCTAACCACCTTCACTACCTCATGACCAAGCAGGGCAATAATAATACCACGATTGGAAGGTTTATTCATTTATTTAGCTAAACTTTCATAAATTATATCAAGGCGGCTGTCAGTTTTTAAAAAGTACAACAATAGTATATAAAGACCCATAAAACATCAGTAGATACTGGTTGGTTAAAAAGCAACATATTGTGGAGGCTTATCTAAACAGTACAGTTTTCAGAAGACATCTGAAAGAAGGCAGGGATGATTCCTGCCCAACTACAGATAAGGAGTTCCACAGGGCAGGACCTGCCACACTAAAGGCTCCATCCCTAGTGAAAATGAAGGTTAACCAAACCACCAGAAGTGCCCCACCAGAGAAGCTCTATGTGATCAAGGTGGAGTATAAGGGATCAAATGGTCCTTCAGATACTTTGAACCCATGTTGTGTGTGGGACCTCAAGGCCACCCTTGCTGCTATGGGCACCAAATCGGTGATATCGTAATGCATAGATTGGCTTATGTGTTTAGAACATGGAGATGCCAGTTGCACCTTTCCCTGTGGAAAAAAAAGTGGATAAACAAAGAGGATAGGAAAACCTTGTTTCCATCTCTGATCAAGTGGGGTGGAGGGGGAGAGTTTCAAAGTCTAGTTGCACTAGCAATTAGGTTTGCTCTCCCATTCCATCATGTGCAGTATTGGAATCTTTCATAGCTCTTGGTGCATCTATTAAAAACATCTCTCTGGATTATAGTAAATGATCAATGAGCTGTGTTTGCTGATGTAAAAATTATAACAATGTTAACCTTTTTTAATTATTATTGATTTCCTCTAGTTGGCCTGCTGTTGTGGCACTGCTCCGTGTTCACTCTGCTGCAAATGCTGCCCAAAGATAAAGCAATCCACTAGCACCCGCTTTATGTATGCACTGTACTTCATCTTGGTGACTCTCATCTGTTGCATCATGATGTCGGAGACGGTAGCAAAAGAAATGAAAGCACATGTAAGTAACTGGGTTTTTTAAGGAAGGAGAGGGCAGGTGCTGATATCGGTTGTTAAATGGAATGACTGTGTCATTTCCAGTAAAAAGCACGTGTTAAACTTGGCTCTTGACAGAGGTTTGGGTGGAGAAACTATCATTATTAAATTGCTGGACCCTATCATCTGCATGATCTATGTTCCAAATTAGCATTAAAATGTTTAGTGTTGTTGTTTAAAAAAATCTCACTACTGTCCTAAGAATGTTAAAGACTCACTGTGTGTTGATTTCATCCTGTGTTTTGCTTTGAAAACTGAGAAGTAGGAAGAACCAAGAGGAGTAGGAAGGGACAGTACAAAGGGTAATTGTTTGTATGAAGGCAAAAGATTACGGCTCTCTGAAACTTGAGTGTTTGGCAGATTTAAAAGAGAGAACACAAGTGACTCAAGCAGGTCCTTTGTTGGAACGCTTAGCCTCTTTCTTGCGCTCTAATGTTCTGCAGCAACGTGTAGAAAACTCAAGGGCCTCTCAAGTTTATTGTGTAATAGAACAGATCCAGAAGCAATAATTGCTCTTCTGCAGAGAGGAATACTGAATTCTGGTTTTCTCACTCCTTTTTCCATCTCCATCCTGATTTTAATGCAACTGCTGTTCCCATTCATTCAGTTGGAAAATGATTGCATTATTATAATGATTGCCAGTTACAGACATCTCTGACACATGCCCCCTGCATATGAAGGATTGACATAATCATGGGGGTGAATCTGTAGTCTGCAGACAATACAGTTCATACAAATACCAGTGCCGCAGTTTTCCTCATGCTTGTCTGGAAGGAAGGCTCACAGATAAATAGTTGATTCAGGCATCGTTGTAAGAAGCATGGCAGATGTCAGTGAGGTAGGGATGGGGAGAGAGAAGCCTGAAAACTCTGCAGAGGTATTTTCTTTTGATGATGTTTGCTGCCTGTACAGTGGTACCTTGGGTTACAGACGCTTCGGGCTACAAACTCCACCAACCAGGAAGTGTTGCTCCAGGATAAGAATGGAAATTGCACGCCAGCAGCACAGCAGCAGCAGAAGGCCCCATTAGCAAAAGCGCACCTCAGGTTAAGAACCGTTTCAGGTTAAGAACGGACTTCTGGAACAAATTAAGTTCTTAACCCGAGGTACCACTATGGAAGAAACAAATACTGTACTGCTGCCATTGTTCTGTACAGAGCAGGGACAAAAGTGACCTGATTGCATAAGCAACCCTATTTGCAGGTGTGTTTGCAAAGCAGAGAGAACAAGAAGTAACCACAGAATCTGCCTTTCAGTTTCAGTGGCATTGCCACTTGATCAGGATTGGGGGGCTGGCCTTCAGCAGGGAGTTATGAGTAGTTGTGACAGCTCCCTTTTGACTCTTCACGCCTCCGTCTGACTTGATTTTGTTTGCTTAGTTTTCTTATGATCAGAGAGAAGGCAATAATTACCCCTCTTTAGCTGTTCTTCACAGATTAGGAGAGTCTCTCTCCCCCCCCCACCTCCCGCTCTTCTGTGGGAAGAGAAGGAGAGGTATTTTGGCCCAGGAGGGTTGACCCAGGATTTGTGCAGTCCTTGGATCAAAAAAAGTTGGCCACCCCTGGCATAAGCAGTTCTTCTTTTGGAAAATCTTTAGTAGTAGTGTTCATCACTGCATATTGGTACGGAAAACACCAGGCTAGGGCAGCTACAGTATTCTGGTCTGATTTTTATAAATGAAAGTGTTTGCTGTTTCAAGACTGATGTTCTGGAAAATGTTTATTAAATGTTTCCAGACCTTAACAAAACAGTGTGGAGTAACATGCTTCCTCAGCAATTTAGCAAAGGACTGATAATGTTGGCCAAGTTTGTAGAGACTTCATTCTTTAGTTGCCAAACTGCCTTCTTTTTATAGACTTCCATCCTCAGTTTTGTAATTGCTTTAATTCACCCCTTAGTGGAAGTGGCCTTAGACTTTCATCAGTCAAAGCAGTCATTTGATGGTGATACATGATTTCTAGGTTTTCTGCCCTTTATGTTTTCTAGACAAAGCCCAGAGTCCAAATTTTGTGGTTTTGCTAGCCCTACAACTGAGTGGAGATTTGAACCTGGCACTCTCTAGCCCTGGTTAGACACTCAAAGGTCTCATCCGCACTTAGCTTTTGCCCCTTGCTTTATAGGCAGAGGTCCATGCTTTACTGATCTGTGTCCAATAGCTCTGCCCTTCCCTGCTCTGGCCGCCATTTCCCCCCAAGAAACCTGCTCTTTAACTCTGAATCAGAACAAATGGCAATTTGGGTTTTCTGTGCATTTCCATTTGCTCTGATTCAGCAGTAAAGAGTGGTATTTCATGGGGAAAGTGTTTGGGCATAAAGAAAGTGCACTCCGACAGGGAATGACAAAGTGTGGACCTGTGTCTAGAAATGTGGCACAAAAGCAAGTCTGGATGAGCCTACATATTACACCACTGTGATTCTGAATTCGGAGCTTATTTTATGGCTCTTTGGATCATGGACAAGGTTTGGAGCTATTGGCATAAGCAAATGGAAGTATTTCCTATATCTCAGAATAATTATATTATGTTCCTACCAGGCATAGTCTACATCTTGCATATTTTCCCTTATCCAGAGACCGTTCAATTTAAAATATTTTTCTATACGTTGTTTTCTTCCAACTCTGCAAGCTGGGTTTAGCCTTGGAAGAGGTTCTTGGAGAGTTGGCTCTGTTCATAAGAGGGAAAAGGGGAGTGTTAATGGTGTTCTGTTCAGCTGTGATAAAAAGTTCAGTTAGTCCACACACATGAGGATATAGAGAGGCCTTTATTTTATTGTAAATGCTTGTATTTGTATATCAGTGCTTCTATTTTCAGGCTGCCTTGGTTGTGAAGGGGTGGGAACCAGTCTTCATAGGGGACACAGCTGAAGTATAGAGCTTCAGATCAGAAGCTTGCTTTGTAAGATGTGTTTTCTGAGCACAACTCCACATTCGTGTGGTGAGCTTGAGACCAGAATGCGTAGCTGGCTGTTCTTTTTCCATGAGCGAAAGCACGGCCACAAAAGCAAATATTGAGTAAACGAGAGCTGGAATTTTCCCCACCTTTCTGGTATTTTATTTCTGTAACAGTTTTGTAACTAATAAGCATTTCATTCTGTTGGGAGTTGTTGGGGTTTTTTTGGGTGGGGATCCTTTTTCTGTTGTAAAATAATTTTTAAAAATATTTTATTCTTACTACTGTGTGTTGTTGTGAGCTCTCTTGGTATTATCAATGAAAGGCGATACAGAAATGTTTCAAACAAATAAACTAAACAACACTAAATTACGAGTGAGCTGTCTGTGACCCTCCAAATGCCACTGAATTCCATCAGCCTAAACCAGCATGAAGAATGGTGAGAGATGACAGGAGCTGAATCTAGCAATATCTGAAAGGTCACAAGTTTCCTACCTGGATTTGTTCAGGATCATCCATGTAGCACTAAAATATGGTTTAGTGTTACAAGTGATCATGGTCAATCTTTCCGGCATGTTGTTAATGAATACCTTTTTTGGAAAATACAATTATTCCACAAAAGAACATGTAACTTAATTTCTAAATAAAGAATTGGCATATCTCAACATTTCTCTCCCAAAACATCTTATAGCACCACTATAATGCACAGATTGGAGTTTTGTTTGAAATTCTGATCCTCTGGCAAATGTCTGAAGGTAAATTTAAGCAGAACTCTGGATTAGCAACTCTGGTCGCATCGCCTAATGAACTGAAAGCCTCTTGAACTAGGTGTCATTGTTTTCATACCACGTATATCTAAATTTGTTTTACTGTTCTGTTTCAGATTCCCTTTTATGGCACACTATGCCAACATATTCAGGCAGGTGATTCATGTGAGAAGCTGGTGGGGTACTCTGCTGTTTATCGAGTGAGCTTTGGAATGGCCTGCTTCTTCTTCATCTTCTTCTTACTCACCATCAAAATCAACAACAGCAAAAGTTGCCGTGCATACATGCACAATGGGTAAGCCAAATGGCTGTCTTTGTTTTGCACTAATTTAAACACTCACTATTCTAAGCTGCTGGATTTCTTCACAATCTAAATATGTAGTGCTTAGTGCTTTTTTACCATCCGTGTTGTTGTTGTTGTTGTTGTTTTATTTATTAAACTTATTAATTGCTTGTCACTCAAAGGTCTCCAAGCAACTTACATGCAATATATTAATACCATAGGGAGAAAGGGGGGTGGGAATAATATAATACTTTAATATTTCATATAATATAACATCCATGGGGAAATAAACATACCAGCGATATGCTACTATTTATATGGCTTAATGATATGCAGTTAATAAGCAAAGATATAATCTTACCCACTAATTATGATGATGATTATGATAATGATTAATTTAATACCCCACCCATGTGGCTGGGTTTTCCCAGCCACTCTGGGCGACTCCTAACAGAATATTAAAAACACGATAAAACATCGAACTTCCCTAAACAGGGCTGCCTTCAGATGTCTTCTAAAAGTCAGATAGTTATTTCTTTCCTTGACATCTGATGGGAGGGCATTCCACAAGGTGGGTGCTACTACTAAGAAGGCCCTCTGCCTGGTTCCTTGCAACCTCAGTTCTCACAGTGAGGGAACCGTCAGAAGGCCCTCGGAGCTGGACCTCAGTGTCTGGGCTGAATGGGCTAATCTCAACCTCCCCCTAGTCCAAAAATCATTCACGTCGAGCCAACATTTCCCCCCATTTAACCTCCCCACCCAGAAGTCTGGTGTCAAGGCCAGCTATTACAAGTCAGGGGTGGGTGGGTCCAGTATCCTCCCTGGATGGCCCAGTGTCTCCTCTTCCTTCAGGGGGAGCAGAGCAAAGCAGGAAGATGGTTAGAAATGTTTTATGTGCTTTGCACTTTACCCAGCTACCACTCCTCTCCTGCTGAAAGCTCTTTGCGGCTTTGCCATTTCTTAAAGAAACCCTGAGCATATTCATAGCACTGAATAAACAATACTAGCAGAAGTTCCTTTTCCAGTGCTATATATACCCACCTCTCTTCCTCCTATGTTTGCATGGATTTCTTTGCTGACTTCCTGTCATTTTCATTAGATCACACACACACACCATTCTTAAAGCATTTTAAAAAACCAACAAACCTAAACATATTTAAAGTGCACACAAGGTGAATTTTAGGTGTGTCTCATTCAGGATGGATAGTCAAGTCTGAATGACAGTATTCATAGTGATGAGGACTCTTTCCTTATTTTATTTTGCTTTCCTGTGCAATTGTGTGCCACCTTTTACAGTGCAATAGCTGTGGTGTCTTTTGGTTTGTTTGTGCTTATGTCGGATCCTATGGTACACTGCAAAAAAATAGCAGCCACACAGTTAATAGGGAATACACTGTTTGCACTGTCTCTTTCTAAACCCCATCTTGATGGAACTCATATATGTTCTCTCTTCAGACACAGCTACAATGGCTATGTTCCATCTTCCACTGTCAGACTAATATGTCCCTGAATACCAGTTACTGGGAAGCACAAGTTGGTAGAGTGTTCCTGCACTCAAGTCCTGCTATGGGGCTTCCCATAGTTGGCTGGCCACTGTGAGAACAGGGTGCTGGACCAGTGAGCCATTGGCCTGATCCAGTAGGGCTCTTCTTAAATCCTTTGAACTGGGGAGCGTAGCAGAAGAAACACAAGAACGAGTGAGAAACCAGCCGATTTCTTTTTCATTTCCTTGTATTTACAAGGAGAGGTGATATTGCTTAAGTTACCTCCACCCCTCTTCGTACAGGTTAATAAACAATGAACCTAGAATGGGTTATCTGATTTTCACAGCTTAAGTAAATTAAATTCTCTGTGTTTGTTTTTTCCTCTTCAGATTTTGGTTCATTAAACTTCTAGTCTTGGCCGCCATGTGCTCAGGAGCCTTTTTCATTCCCGACCAGGATACCTTTCTTAAAGGTACAAACTTTAAAAGAATGTCATGTGTTTTCTCTTCATCTATTACAAGGATGGTGAACCTGTGTCCTTCTTGATGTTACTGGACTCCAACTTCCATGGCCGCCAGCAAGCATGGCCAGTGTTTCGGGATGGTGATGATTGGAGTCTAGGGAGCTTCTTCTAGGAGGCACTGGTCCTCTATCTCTGATCCACTGAGTATCAATTGATAGCAGATAACCAGAGATGCTAGGGACGCAGGTGGCGCTGTGGGTTAAACCACTGAGCCTAGGGCTTGCCAATCAGAAGGTTGGTGGTTCGAAAGCACATCAAAGTGCAGGTAGATAAATAGGTACTGCTCCGGTGGGAAGGTAAACGGTGTTTCCGTGCGCTGCTCTGGTTTGCCAGAAGCAGCTTAGTCATGCTGGCCACTTGACCCAGAAGCTGTATGCCGGCTCCCTCGGCCAATAAAGCGAGATGAACGCCGCAACCCCAGAGTCGTCTGCAACTGGACCTAATGGTCCGGGGTCCCTTTACCTTTAACCAGAGATGCTAAATTGGATATGGATGACATCTGTCACAGCCCTTTTGAGGGAGAGGGAGAAACAGCTAAAGCATGGTGCTGTTGCTGTGTTTTCTCATCTGCTCGACTTTTGGAAGAGATAAGCAGGAGCAGAGTGACAGGAGTAGGGACTGGATGTCCACGCTGCAGATGCAAGACAGACAAGGAGAGCGTTTGTGTGAAATGTAAGAGTTTGGACAGGAGCAGATGAAGTTAGGCTCATGCACTATTATACCACTTTAACAGTCATGGCTCCCCCTGTCCTAGAATTCTTTGGAGGAAAGCATTGACTGTTAAAGTGGTACGAGAGTCCATTAAATGTATGATGTGGCTGTGACCAGAATCCCTTTCAAGGTTGTGCCTGAGAAACAACTTTTGCAAAAATAAAAAAGCCAAACTCTAAAGGGCGTAACTATACAATAATTCATTAAACACATTTGCGTCTTTTAAAATGATGTATGGCAGCAGGAGTGGGGAGAAGACCTGATTCACGCTAGAACCCAGTGGAGGAGAATTTGACTAAAGTATTTTAATGTATTTTTAAAGCCGCCCAGATGGGTGGGGTATAAATAATAAATTATTATTATTATTATTATTATTATTATTATTATTATTATTGAATCTCTCGCACCAAAATAAGGTTGCAGTTTGTCACAGTAGGGAAGCTGCAATTGATGCCAATAACATCTTTCCTCTCAGGGCAGTTGAGTTGGAACTTTGAATTGTGAATGCAGCAAAGAGGGATAAGGTTAACCTCCCTCTAACCCCAGCCATGCTTCCCATAGCTCCCTAGAAACTGCAAGTGCAAACTGCATGTTTAACATAGCAAATAAGTTTTGCTTATCCCTCCCCCCTTCAGAAAAATACCCTGTTGAGCACTTGCAGCTGCAGGATGCTCCTTCTCTCCTTGACTTAAAGTGCCATACATCAGGGCCACACAAATACAGCATTTATCCACTTCATTCATAATGTGTGGGTGGTTGTTTATTATAAGAGGCAGAAAACCTTTCATCACTTTATTGCTGTTTGAAAATATGGTTGGTGCATATTTTCAAGCAGCGAAACTCCCAATGAATGCAGGAGAAATAACTCACTACGGAATGTGAAAGACCTTGTTGGTATGTCAAGCCTGATATGATTAGCTCAGTCTAAGCATATTAGTACAGCTGGACAACATTGCTTGGAGTAGTCAGTGATTTGTTCTGTTCTTCATGTGGAACAATTAAACCAAACTGCATCTGATCCAGCGCTGCTAAAAGTCAGCAGCAATTTCAGTTAAAGTCTCCCACAATTTCATTAGTTTCCAAATTGACAATGTGTCGTAGTGCAAAATTAGATTTCTTGCAGAGCTTTCATTTCATTATTGTAAGAACAGCAGTTCTTATCAATTAAGATTATTTGTTGTTTGTCAGAAATGCTGGCAGATGGCAATCTCCAAATCCTCTAGGTCTAGGAGGAGAAAAATACATGATGTAGAATATCCCAAGGCTTTAGAGATAAGAAGGTGTTTTTATTAACTAGTTTAGGCTGTAAGCACTCACACATGCAATTGCAGGATATCTAATTAATTGTCCATAAAATGAGACACTTTTTGAAAAATCAAGACATGAAGAAGGACAACTTTGAAGTCTGCATCTCCATTTCCATTCACTTCCTTGCTTTTTCAGTCCACTAACTGGAGAGAGACCAATCATGTTGGCAGAGCACATGTTACCAGGCCTTGTAATGAAGCTTAGCTGCACTGAGCATTCTCAATGGAATAACACACAGCCCCGTCTTGCAGCCACTTTTGCATGCTTTTGTATGTGCCTATAATTTAATTGGCTCTTTGATTTGAATACTTTTTAAAATGTGAGGACCTAAGCTGCATTGCTGAGATTTTGTGCGTGGTTTGCACAGAAAACAGTTGCTGATTAGATTGTCCCCACGTATAATTTATATATTGAACAAAATGTTAATGTTGGTTTGCACTTCTCTTTCATTAAAAATATGCTGTGTGTGCTTTTGGAGTGCTAAGAAACAGTGTGAATACAATTATGAATCTGCCCTTTTGGTGGGAATACAGTAAATGCATCTAAATTTGAATCTGGGGATAAACATCTGGTTTCAACCACAAACTGCTGTTTGGGGTTGTCTTATAAAGGCCCTTTGGGGCTCTTATGCTTCACTTTCTTTCGGTTCTAAGTATAGAAAGTCTAAATAAAGGTTCTTAAGTATACAGTTTTGTATGTGCTACCCAATATAGTTTTAATTCTGGATAGCTCTGCAAGAGAAATATTTTGCTGTTGAGTTACCTTATTTTGGGTAATATTTATATCGTCCTTTGTGCTTATATGTCTTTTAAATAAAACTTTTAAAATGAAATATTTATTTAAAACGCATTTCCAAATGACTTAATGGTAAAAAAATCTCTAAACAGTATACAAAAATCCAACATAAAAACAAATTATAAAAACAGTTGTAACATTAAAAAAATAAAAATAAAACAGTACATGTTTCCTACTTTGTTACATTGTTTTTAAATGCACGCTTTGTAATCTCAGTTTTGAGAATTATGGTAGTTGCAAAATGTTTTTAAATCCTCAGAATTTTAGTTCTGATAATGCTTTATCCAACCAAACGATGCACATTCTGCTCTTCATGAAGTAGTGATTGCAGTCATATTCCAGTGTTGAAAATGTAAAATGGGGAGGAACATGGATCGGGGAGCCTGGGACTGTCTGGTGCTGCTGGACTCCAACTCCCATTATCTCTTGCAATTGGCCATGCTGTCTGAAACTGGTAGGAACTGGAGTCCAGCAACATCAGACCACAGTTTTCCCATTCTTAGGCTAGTTGACAGAGTCTTGGACCATCAGAAATCTGCCAGATACAATTTTGGAGTGCACTTTTTGTGAACCACTTTCTTTCGGACTTTTGCCATGAATTCATTGCTTTTAAAAAAAGAACCTGTATAGTGAATTAAAATAATTCATTTATCTGAGTCAAAACTGACAATGCAATTCTTTACTGTCCTACAGCATGGCGTTACGTAGGTGCTGCAGGAGGGTTCCTCTTTATCCTCATTCAACTCATCCTGCTTGTAGAATTTGCCCACAAATGGAATAAGAACTGGTATGTATCTTGCACACGCATGCATTTGTGTTTTTATGTTGTCTTGAATAGCAACTGTGATCAAATTTAGCATTTGTATCAGGCATTCTCATATTATATCTTTTAGAGTGCTTCTTTCTTATCCATGCTGCTTCCTTTATTCCTGACTTTGGGGTTTGGTCTTTCACTTACTATTTATTACAAGCTGCTTCTTTGAGTGACTATCACAGTTTTTATCGCTGCAGAAAACTTTCACATGCATGGTGCAACAGTGCCTTCATTAGTCTTTTTCATTCCACAAACATTAGAAATGCATGAACTTCGGAAGAGAAAGAAATGTAAACCTCTTGAGATTTCTGCATGATACTCAAATGCTGGGGGGGGGCAGTGTTTGCCTCTCTGAGGAGTCCTCAGCCCTTGTATGTGCTGAGGACAGGGTGCTTCATTGATGTGCGATTGGGTTTGTTGGTCCCGCGGGTGAGTGATGAGTGATTTTCACCTCCCCTACAAAAAAAGCTCAACAACTCTGGGCAATTTCCCCCCATTTTCTCAATTTGGAGTCCCAAAAAAAGAGGGGGCGTCTTATACATGGGGTCGTCTTATACACGGAAAGATATGGTAGTTTTTGTGCTTCCCGATAGATCCTGTTATGTTTCATTCTGCTGGACCCAAATTCATTTTCATGGAACCAAGCACTGACTTTTCTAGCCTTGAAGGTTCATCCTATAGCTGGTCACAATTTACTGTATTACCGTATTTTTCGCTCCATAAGACACACTTTTTCCCTCCTAAAAAGTAAGAGGAAATGTGTGTGCGTCTTATGGAGTGAATGCAGGGCGGAGGCAGGCAGGAAAAGCCCCCAAGAGCCGCACACAAGCTTCGTGTGGCTTTTGCGGGCTTTTCCCCAGGAGGGAGAAGGGACTGACACGGCCAGTCAGTCCCTTCTCCCTCCTCGTAGAAAAGCCCACAGGAGCCGCTCGCTCCTTAAAGGGTGCATGGCTCCTGTGGGTTTTTGCGGGAGGTGGGGGAATTGCCATAGCCGCGCGCAGCCTCTCCCAGCAGAGAGGCTGTGCGCGGCTAAAGAAGCCAAGACAGCGAGCAGGATCCATCCCGCTGGCTGTCTTGGCTTCTGCTATAGACAGCTAAAGAAGCCAAGACAGCGAGTGGGATGCGTGCAGCCTGTCCGCTGCTCTTTGGGGCTGGGGGGGGGGAATATATATTTTTTTCTTGATTTCCCCCTATAAAAACTAGGTGCGCCTTATGTAGCGAAAAATACGGTATAATCCCTCCAGGCATGCATAGACCATATCAGTTTGTGAATCCTGTATGCAGTAGGCCATGCTCACTTCAAATAATTAAGGCATGGCTTGTTCTTCTTTAGAAATGTCCATTGTATTAAACAATATAAATACAGCAAATTTTTCCCATAATGAACTAGCCTCATGAGGATACCTCTTGACAATGAATCCATAGAATTCATTTGCTTTCCCTTCAGCTAAATACATGCTGCCCTTTTCTTTCCCCAACAGGACATCTGGCACAAGGCACAATAAGCTCTGGTATGGCTCCTTAGCTCTCGTGACTCTCATTTTGTACTCCGTCGCTGTTGGAGCTCTGATTGTGATGGCTGTCTTTTACACACGTGCCGATGGCTGCAATTTTAACAAGATCCTGCTTGGCGTCAATGGCGGCTTGTGCTTGCTTATTTCAATGATAGCCATCTCGCCCTGTGTCCAAAACCGTAAGCAAGCTCTTTTGGTCTGGTATTACTTTAACTGGAACTACTGTTGATTTCCTTGGCCGTAACTGAACCTCAATAGTAGAATTATGCCTGCGTTTTGGGACTTGTCTGTTTGTCACTGTCTCTGACCCAGCAGCTGAATTTCTGTTGTGTAAAATAATCTGCCAGCACCCACTGTCAATTCTGACAGCCCATCTGTATAAGCCTGCTGCATAGCCCCATCAGGTCACAGCACTGCTGTGGCTTACCTGCATGCATCCATTTGCCATATGTATTGAGAGGAAGGACTGTAGCTTAGTTGCAGAGCACATCCTTGGCATGCAGAGGGTCCCTAGATCAATTCCTGGCATCTCCAGGTAAAGGGATCGGATAGCAGATGCTGTTAAATGCATATTTCTGAGAACCACTGCCATGCTGGACTAGAGGAATGAATAGGCAGCGTCTAGAGGAATCTTTGCATTATTATTACTAACTTACGGGTTGGAGCCAGACTAACAGGACAATCCAAACCCAAGATCCACCAGGATGTGCAAGCTTAGAGTAGGCAGATCTTGGAGTGATGGGAGTAACTCTCTCAACCCAGCTGAACTGGAGCTAATCTGACTCAGCTGGCAGAATCTATGCCGGTGTAAAATCCCCAGAAAAATTCATTCTTGGGGTGAAGCAAGGAGAGACTTAAGCCAACCTCAGTCAGCAGAACTTAGAGCACCAAAAACGTTGGTGTAAATCAAACTCAATTTTAAAGGTTTGTTTTCCTTTTACCAGACTTAGGCTGCCTCAGCTGATAGTAGCTCTGCTTCTGAACAAAATTTGGAACTTACACCATCTTAATTTAAGCCAGGATAAATTTTGCCAGCTTCCTGTGCTTAGAATTACTTTATTAGTCATGCTTATAATAGACTCATTGAAATCAGTGAGACTTAAGTTAGTGATAGTTTCACAGAGGTTTTAAGTTCAATTCTCCTCTTGGCCATTTATGTCTTCTAAGACTTGTTTATCTATTTGAGCCTTTAATATCAAGCCTTTGGTGACAGAAAACATTCAGAGATGTAAATGAGTTAGGGTAACTCTGAATCCCCCTTCCCTTTTGACAGACCAGCTATGAGAGCAAATTGTAACGTGTCTCTTACTTGTCACTTTTGGAAAAATCTAATTCTAAAAATAAAATAAAAATCGCAGTAGGAAATAGTGGGTTAGATCCAAAGCTTTTGTTAAAAAAGAAAAGATACATTTTCATTCTCTCAAAGCTTTTCAAAAATGTATTAAAACAATGATTATTAATAATATTCCTTTTTTTAACTTTAGGTCAGCCACATTCTGGCTTGCTGCAGTCAGGCATTATCAGCTGCTATGTCATGTATCTCACCTTTTCATCTCTTTCAAGCAAACCACCAGAAACTAGTAAGTTTAGTTTGGATCAGGAATTATATGTGCATTTACACCAATGGTCTCTACTTCACTTGTTAGTACTGTATACTGTTGTAGTATTCATATCAGGACATGAATCTATCCTATATAGTATACTGTATACTGTTGTAGTATTCATATCAGGACATGAATCTATCCTATATAGTTCAGGCTATGCCAGCCTTGCTTAGCCTGGTCCCCTATAACTCTCATCATCTCTGATAATTGGCCCTGTTTTGGTTGAGGCTGAAGGAAACTGTAGGCTTAACTATCTGGAAGGCACCAGCAGGGGAAGATTAATATATATATTTTAGCTTCAGCTGACACATAGAATGTAGAGTTTTCTTCTGTTTTATTTCCAGCAATTACAAAAAATATATGAAATACTTTAATGTTTTGTTTGGAAAATGTTATATGATTACTATTGGGGGGTTTATTTTTAGAATATGATGTGTCACTAACTGAAAAAAATGAGAAAGTATGTTTTGGGGGGTGTAGAGCAGGGATGGGAAACCTATGACCTTCTAGGTGTTGTTGGACTCCAACTGCCATCAGCCCCAATCAGCATGGCCATTGGTTAGGGATGATGGGAATTGTAGTCCAGCAACATCTGGAACGCTGCAGTTTCCCACCCATGGTGCAGAGTGTAATAGCTGGTTATTGGGGTGAGTGGGGGAAAGTGATGCTTTTCAGACCTTGCCATTTAGTCATAATGGCATGAATAAAAGTGAAGAATGAATGAATGAAGCAAACTGTAAAATAGAAAAGAACAACAGCAAGTTTAGCCTTTTCAGTAGTACACTGTGTTTCATTATGGATCATATAGATTTTATTAATTTAAAAATACAGTATTAGGATGTATCAAATCATATAACTGAAACATAAAATGAGCCATGCCAATTGTGATTTATTTTTTTTAAGTCCTAGATGAGAATCAGAAGAACATCACGATCTGTGTACCTGAATTTAGCCAGGGGCTACAAACAGATGAAAACTTGGTGACTGGACTGGGTACTGCCATCCTGTTCTGTTGCATTTTATATTCTTGGTATGTCTTGAGTTGCAGTTGTAATGAAGTATTCAAGTAATTGAATAGCATTAGAAAACTTGCACCAGTCTACTTTATTTGGCAATATAATCAGCAGGAGAAGTCTTACTGGTGGTGCTGTCACTGGGTGCTGCCCAGTTTGTGCTGACCTATAGCAGGGCCTTCCTGGTGATGGTTCCCCATTTGTTGAATATCCCCCTTCCCCACTGTGAAATGCATCTTTCCATTGTGGTTAACATTAAAACATTCCTGTTCACCCAGGCATCTGATAGCCGATTGTTTCTGGCAATCTTAGCTGGTTTTAAATGCTTTTAAATGTTCTTAATGGTTTTAGTTGTTTTTATATAATTGTCTTGTTTTGTTTTGTTGTTTCCTATCACGTTTCCTATATGGAAGGATTGAGGGGGCAGAAATTTAACTAATAAATACCTTTGAGGGAGGTAGTAGTTATTATTTGGCACCATTTCAACATACAGTTTGATGTATGCTAAATGTAAATTGGAGTGTGTAAATTATGAAGCTACCATATAAGCGAACAGTAAGGCAGGGAGTCCCCATCTATATGCTTGGGTCAGTACAGAGGTACCATCCTAAAGAGATGATGATACAATCTTTGTAGTTTAATTAGAGTCCATTAAGAGGCCGTATTATTGCTGTTATTCTAATAGAAATTACTAGAGTCAAGATGTTTACACAGTGCATAGAGATCCATCATACCAGTATTATGTAATCTTCCTAATAGTGTTTCTCTAGTACAACATGCACATTTTTTCCTTGCCTTGGGGTAAGAGGGCATTTACATACTGTTTCTCTCAAAGAACATGAGTAAGTGAAATATGGCTCTAAAGTAGTACAAAACCTGTAAAACTTTCCTCCCACTAGAGTGGTCTGTAAAAGTTTCCTCCCACTAGAGTGGTCTTTACAAAATCTGAATGGTATGTCTTTTTGGTGTGTAGTGTGTTGATTTTGAAGAAACACTAAACTGGCTAAATATCTGCCCCCTTCATCTCAAAACCTCTAGTGGAAGATTGATTAAACCCAAGTTCCTGTGGGAAGAGTATGCCTGCCATGCTCATTTATATACAGATACAGGTTTTTGCTGGGGCTGTGACCAGTTTCAGCTGGTCCAAACCAAATTAGACCAATTTTGGGGTATCTGGTTTTGGGTTGGACCACCTGGAGCAATGCAGAGCTATCAGGAGGCGAAGCATTGGGTACAAAGGCTGAAGGGGTCTGTTTTGCTGTTTTGCCAGTGTGTTCCTTGTTTTCTCTAATGTCTGGCAAACTATTAGGAAACACCATTTCTGCAGAGGTTTCTGGTTGCAGCAGGAGTCTGTCTTCCCCAAAGGGTCAACTTCTATTAAACAATCCTTTTGGAGCTATCGGGCCTCCTCTGTTCCACTGAATTCATTTGGGACTAGTGCCTTCCAGAAATTATTCAACCTATTGTTAGAAAAGATGTCTCTTCAGCAAGGCTGCTTCTAAGAATGACGCATTCCCACTGATTAATTTCTGCTTTCCTGTTTGTGTCTAGCTTGACCTCAACAACACGTGCAAGCTCTGAAGCCCTGAGAGGAATATATGCCACACCGGAAACTGAAGTGAGTTAACATTTTTCTTTGTTCTGCAGTATGTCTCTCTCTGCCAAGTCCATGCACTCTCTCATGGAAAGTTCCATACACACACATTTGCAGTTTCCTCATGAGCATTTACAAGATACTAGGTACAAGCATAACACATACTTGTTCTGCGCAAAAACTCAGGGCTGTTTCAATATTATTGTAGAACACGATCGAATGTTGGCCTTGTGGTGGTCACATTGAAGAAACTACAAACTATACCTGTCTTTGCTCTGCAAGATGTTTTTAAGCTTTGGTACTTGAACTTTCTCCTCATAAGTCACTGATATCAAGCTCCTGTTATCTTTTAAGAACTGTAGCCCCCACAAAGCAGTTACAACCTGCTCCCCAAGTTCACTCATGTGGCTAAAAGCTCCCAGGTTTATTTGCCTGGATCTCACTGGAAAAGTCTCACTTGCTCAAACTTACTGTTCTTACCTTTAGAGCTGCTACCTTGGTGGTGTGATGTCCCTCCCACAAAAGAAAAACCTTCTGCATAGCCAAACTTCCACATTACAGTGGTAACACATGTATGCAAATGTCAGTCATGTGGTTTGACTGGATTTTGTGTTTAGTTCTTATGCCAGTGTATAACCAGTGGTGTAAGTTTCTAGGAGTTTGTGGTACTTAGCTGAAAATATGTTCAGGCAGTGCTGATCTGCAGTTGGAGGCAGGAACCTGAATTCAAGTGGTTATGCACAGGCTTAAGGAGAGTCATCTACACACAAAATTGCATATTTGCATTGTTGTAATTGCACCTTCTTTTTAAAAAGTTTGTTGTGCAAGTCAAACAACTGAAGCTCATCTGGCAAATAAACATACCTTCAGAAAGTATAAACAATGAGGGGGGGAATCCTGTGTGCTTCAAAGTATGGGAGCTGCCTAGTCCTTGCTCCCCCATACACACACTCAGTAGTGTGGTAGGGGGAGTGAGTGAAAATTGTTTTATAGCAGGATCTGTCTACAGAAACTTGATGCATTACATAGTTCATAGAATTTATGCACTAGTGCATTTTAAATGTGTGGCATGTTGCATTGGAACCACCTGTGGAGCAGTAATTAATGTATTTTTAAAAATGGAATAATCTGAAGTGACAAAACTGGTCCAGTGTTCATTGTGGCGATGTCAAGTCTATACAGTATCTGGTCCACAACGTCACATTATACCATAGTTTTTAACACAAGTAGTGTACTGGTGCACATTGCTCAAATGGTCCCGAGTTACTCCTCCCCTACTAACCCTTCCCTGCACTGGGGAGGCTGGTTACATGTGAACTAGCACTTAGGGTTTGTTTCCCTCATGATTGGAAAGCTGAGGTTCGCTTTAAAATAAACTGTGGTTTAATGTGACTTGTGAACCAGTTCAGCATGCCAGATGTTCCCAGTGTAGATCAAATATGTTTGGAGTGACCAACTTCCTCTGATCCTTATTAAACATTTAGTGCAAAAATCTCAGGTTTGTTGTGCTAATAGAAGTTCTGAAAGCATTTAAAGTTAGAATAGTTTCAGATGGCAGCCAAAATACAGTACTTCAAAGAAATGACAGCTCCTTGTGTGGGGCTTTGGCAAAAATGTAAGCTGGCTTAGTTCTTGCCATCGCTATGCTGCCAGTTTTGTTCTAGCTAGTTCATTTGGCCTAGCAGCAGCCTGAAATGTTGGCCATGTGATTTAGCACGCCTGTCACTTGCAAGCAGCACTGTCAGGGAGTGCTCTTAAGTGTGTTGATTCTCCTTTTGCTGAGTGAGAGACAACACAGATGGATTCTGTCTGGGACGAGAGTCCAAGCTGCATGAGAGAGCTCTGAACCGCTGTACTAAAGTGGAGCATAATAGAATTACTTTTAGATCATTTGCTCTTAAAGAATGCTACAAGAACCATTGCATAGTAACATAAAGAAAGGGGTAGCAGCAGGCAGCTTATTGTGCGCTTCATTCTTCCCCATGACAGAAGGGCTTTTGTCTCCTGATTAGAAATGTAAACATAATTCTTCAGCTGCATCTGTTAAATAGGAAGCCTTTCTTGCATCTAAACTATAGACTGTTACCCACATTATGGAGAGCTCTTGGCATGCATGGCAACATTGCTAATTGGATCTCTCAAGAATTTGCAAGGCTTGAATGTCTGATAAATCTAACCATATATGTTGCCGTCTTAGACAACAAACTTAGGCAAAAACTAGAGCAATTATCAAAAGTGTTTTAAATTTAAAACTCAAATGGTTATGGAAGCAATGCACAGAATTGAATTCCTACCTCAATAGCATTCGTTGAAAGTATTTTGCCTGTGCCTGTGTCAGACTTAAGCATTCGACCATGTGGTCAAAGGGATTTTTTTTTATGTACGTTAATGGCAAATAAAGCAACATTCCTGTGCTGCCTGGAAAAATAATAATTTGTTTAGAATATCGCAATGTGGTGCTTTTTGCATTTTTAAAGAACTGTGTTTCTCAGTGTACCTCTTTTACCATATCTCAGGATAAATCCAAAATACTCTCTCACTTTTAAACTATTTCATTATACTGTGTTGCTTTCAAAAATTTGTGCATTTATCATAACATTTGTATGTATGATTTTCTTTCTATATGAATTATTGGCTTCCTGCCATCACCATTACTGAAGTCTTGCTAAATATCAAGTAGTCTAAATTTATTTTTTGTTGTATTTATGGTATAGGTGGCTCGCTGCTGTTTCTGCTGTACTCCTGCTGAAGATGGTAGGAATTCATTCTTTCATGCAACTCTACTTCCATAGTGATACATACAGTGGTACCTCGGGTTAAGTACTTAATTTGTTCCGGAGGTCCGTTCTTAACCTGAAACTGTTCTTAACCTGAAGCACCACTTTAGCTAATGGGGCCTCCTGCTGCCACTGCGCCGCCGGAGCACGATTTCTGTTCTCATCCTGAAGCAAAGTTCTTAACCTGAGGTACTATTTCTGGGTTAGCAGAGTCTGTAACCTGAAGCATATGTAACCCGAGGTACCACTGTACTACCTTGAAAAAGGGACTGGGCTGCTTGTGTTTGTAGACCACTTCTTACCTTTTTGTGTACTTTTTTTTTTTACATTGGAATGGACATTTCTCCCTAACCTAGCGCATGCTTTCTCTTGTGAGGTGAGGGATGCAAGAATAGATAGGAAAGCTGTGGGGGCAGGGCATCCATTTCTCCGCCCCCTTTGATGCATAGAGACAGTTCAGTAAGAGGTAGTCAAAGTGTTTTCCCTGATGCATTCTGAGAACTTTCTGCACTTAGTAAATGGCAACAGCCAAACGATCCTTGGAATAGGAAGAGAGAGGTTGTGTGCGATTTGCCCAGTAAACCCAAGAATGCCAGCGATACAAATAGCTGTGTGGCATGTTCTGCTCAGAGCTAAAGGCTGTATACTCCAAATGTTGGCATAGGGCAACACTGTAAGAAACCTTAAATGCATGCAAAACACTTGTAAAGCCAAAGACGCATAGATATTATGGAACACTGTCTATCGAAACGCATTCCATCTTCTCAAAGGGTGGGTTATTTTTATTTTACTTTTTAGATTTCACTGTGGTGTGTGGGGAAAGTAGGTATGTATAACTACAGGGAAGAGAGTCGTGCAACTTAAAATAACAGTTGCAACCACAGGGATGTTAATTACAGGCACTGCTTTTCAAAGAGAGAGAACATCTGTGGATGGAAAATGGCATAGTTCTTTTCTTGCTTATGTGTTGGTGTGGTGCATATAGTAAGAGATTCAGCTCCTGTTTTGACTTGTTCTGTTCAAACCATACTCATTCTAATGTCGCTTGCTGTACTCCCAAATAGTTCTATCTTCCAGTGATTCATGCCGGAGAGTGGGAAGAGGACAAGCACATTACAGCTGCCCCATCCAGTTTTGTTGCGAGCTTCGCTTTTTTTGTTCTGCAATACTCATAGTGCGCAAGCTCTCCTGAATGGGGAACTATATATAGCGTGTGATTGCGTAAAGTTTCATGACAGCTGCAGTAATTTAATTATTTGGGAAATTCCCAACCTTGCCTTTCTGAGGAGCATGTAAGTTTGTAAGAAAAGGCTGTGACTCATAGCTTTTGAGAGTCCCTGATAGGCACTCAAGTAGCAACAAGCCCCTCTTCCTACAGCTCCAGGCAATGGTTTCCAGAAGTCCAGATACTAGAGTACAAAATGTGTGAAGAGCATCATTTTCCAAAGGGATTGCACTTGAATGAGTTGCAGGTTTTTCTGGCAGGGCAGGGCTTTACTCATATTGGGCCACAGATCAGAAATATTTTTTCTGGCAAAAACTGTATTTCATACATATTCTATTCATTAACTGTGCTGTTTGCATGCATTCTCTTCTCTGAAATCTGTTCCCGAGTACGAACAGTAACTTACGATGCTGTGTTGAATCTGGGAAGATGAACTGAGTACCAGGCACTGGCAGCTCTTGTCACCATAAATTGACAAATAAATGCTTCAAGCAGAGAAAGGCAATAGCACAGTGATAGAGCATAGAATTTGCATGCAAAAGGTCTCAGGTTCAGTTATTGTAGCCCCCCAGTCAGACTGGCAAAGGCTTCCCCATTCTAGTGGAAGCCTCCCTTGGATCCTAGTTCCCTCTGCTTACAACTGCAGGTCTCCATTATTCTCAGAATATGACATTACCTCAAAATCATTTGATCTCCAGCCTGACAGCAGTGTGCCTGCCTAGCCTTCACATCAAGCTATAGACTTGGTTCTCTTTTATTTTTGCTCCCCCACACCTTATGTCTCCTCCTCAGCCTGGGTTGTGCTTATTTCCCCTGTCTAGAAGTTTGAAGTTCCTACATTCCACCTTCAGTAGGGAACTTTTACCTCCATGAGAAGCACATGTCACACAACTGCAAGTTACTTTGGAAAATCCACTAATGGGAGTTTTACCATTAGCTGAATGACACTGTTGGATACAAGCCAATGTAATCTTCAGTTACATTGTACAACAATGAATATTGCAGAAGACAAAGCAGACAAAATATACCAATTACTCTCAGACAGGATAACTGAGTCAACAGTAATAAACTCACACCTTTGAGTTCATTTGAACCCAAAGCCCTGCCATAATAGAAAGAGATTTAGTTTTATATATTTTCATATCAGGAAGGAGCCAAACAAACATCCTCAGTCAGAACATTTCTTAAATTAAAATGCAACTTTTTCCCTTGGTTACATTCAGTACCTTGATTCTTCTTGCCCCAGAATAACAAGGCCAGTGTCTTCCTTAGGAAAGTCCATATTAAATATAATTAATTTCCCAAAGACTATAATAAGTGCTTATGGAAAGCTTGTGTTTTTGTATGACGTGAAAGATGAGTGTTCTTCCTAAAATGGCATTCTGCTTGTTTTTCAAAGTAAATGGGTGGTGTTGAAGATTTAGGCCTGAACCAAATCTTAACATTTTTCTTATATGTGTTTGGCTTCACAGCAGATGTTGAAGAGCCTATTGGCAGAAAGAGTGGCCAGAGAGTAATTTATGATGAAAAGAAAGGGACTGTATACAGCTATGCTTATTTCCACTTTGTGTTCTTCCTGGCTTCTCTCTATGTGATGATGACGGTCACCCACTGGTTTCAGTAAGTCACATTCTTGGAGTAAAGGGTTATAGCACTGAGTGGGTATGCTACCATAGTGGCTTGGTGCTAAACAGGATATTCCTGGCTAAATCTCAGCTTACCCACAAACCTACTTTGTCTTAGTCTCACCTATCTGCTTCCCTGCAGTATGGGGCTAATAATACTGGCCTGTCTTACAAGGCTGTTGTGAAGATTAATATGTAATTGAGTAATATAAATGCAGCACTTGAAATGTGCGATATAAATTATAACCATTGTTTTGTGTTATGTGTATTTCATATCCTGTCCTTGGTGAAGTTAGCTTGTCTTGATTTGGATGGTAATAAACTTAGCTTACATTTGAACATGTCAAAGCACTGCAACGCGTGAATGAAACTGTTGAACTTCTAACAAAAATATGCAACTTATTAACATAGTTTCATTTCCAGAAGACTGAAGATTAACCAATGTGATACAGATTAAAAATATATTAAGGGGCAGGAAATAAGTAAATTGCATGACCCACCAGTCTAATTTCTGGCCCTGTTAAATTGGTTAAATTATTAAGCATGAGTAAGAGTGCAATCCAAGAACCTTTTCCTGAAGTAAGCCCCATTGAATTCAGAACATTTCTGAGTAAATATCCATAGGGTTGCACTGTAGCTAGAATGATTAAACAAAGAATAATGAAATGAACCTTGCAGAAGATGAAATTCTTTATTGAAATTGCACCTCACTTTTCTCAGCGTGGCTTCTGCAAAACAAAGTCCTGCCTTATCAGCCTTTTATAATATCAACAAATGGGTTAGCAAACTCATTTACACCCATCTCTTATTTTTATCTTTCTAGTTATGAAAGTGCTGCAATTGAAAAATTCTTTGCTGGAACCTGGTCAATATTCTGGATTAAGATGGCTTCCTGTTGGGTGTGTGTCCTCCTCTATGTTTGGACTCTTCTGGCTCCTTTCTGCTGCCCAACTAGAGAATTCTCAGTGTGAAGCTGTTTCTGGTACACTGAATTCTCAGTGTGAAGCTGTTTCTGGTACAAGTCCATCAGCTTAGGGAATGGCAAAATAAATCTGTGTACTAGCTATCCTAACCTTGATGTTTAGGATACTACATTAACTCTTATGAAATCACACATGTAGAGTCTGGTTTTGAAAACTTATTTACATTACGTGAATTAAGAGAGCCTGGAGAACAAGTTTAGTTAAAAGTGGCACCTCAGTCTGGAAGTCAAAAGTTGTGGATTCTCTTAAACATAATTGGTGATAAGACTGATGCTGACATGTTACAGTCCTCGCAGACGTTGATCCCCACTTTTTTTGTTGACAAAGAAACCAAACCCGTAGATAAAATTACAAAATGGAACTTAAAACTTCACTGGGATGAAGATGTTGTCAGGGGTGGGAACAACATCAGCTTGAGGGTTTCTTTTTCTGTATTAGATGCTCATAGTAAATTATTGGAAATGTAGATTGTGGGTGAAAAGGATTTGTGGGTATAGAAATATTTATTTATGCTATTAATGAAAGGCACCTTTATGAATCACTGGGTGACATGATGTAGAATCTGAAAACCTGACTGAGATGCAAGACACTGTAAAGGTTGGTGCAATTGAAAGTTGTTATGAGTCACTCTGGGAGTGAATGCATCTAATAAAATATTCAGAACAGAAGCAGTGAGCGACAAAATACAAATCTGCCTATAGCTAGCCTAGTAAGTCTGGAGGGTTTCCCTTTTTTTGCAGGGGTTGTTAAGAGTCTACAATGTGTAAACTTATTTAAAACTGTGATCTAATAGAGTTTAAGAAATCAGGTAAATACTTATATTGTAAAGTAGCCGTACCCTGAAAAATAATCGAAAATGTTCAGAATTTGTTTACAGCAGTTTCTTTTTTTAAAAAATAATCCATCACTTTTTTGATCCCTCATTTCATCCCTAAATATCAATCAAAATGTTTATTTTGATGTGATTATTTTATATCAATTATGGATAGAGGATTACAAGGAGACAAAGCAAATTTAACTCATTGTAATATCAGCGGTCTAACTTCTATTTCCCATGTATACCAAAGTCCGCTTAGTGAGTCTTTCTTTACTAGGATCAGAACTAACTTTTTGCAAGCCCTCATATGTGAGTGGAATAATGTTGCAAGAGAAAACTATTGGGTCATAACTATTTAGTGCACAAAGCCTGCAATCCTATACACACTTACCTGGAAGTAAGAGCCATATAATAAAATTGCGCTGTGTACTATTTTAATTAGTAATGAAAGGGCATGCATGCTTCGCATATTAGCATATTGCTTTTTAGATTCATTTTAATGTTAATGCATGCCAATGTCTCTGATGAAAATTAATGGCAGTAATTTAAGTAGTAACATTCTGCTAACTGTGAAGCTAGCTGTGGTATCTCAACTGCCATGTTCCAGTAAGTTGTTTTGTTTAAAAAAGCAAATCAATGTAGTTCAATTGTTAAAACAAAAGGTGCATGAGTAGTGGTTGTGTGGCCCACCTAGGAAATGCTCTAATGCTTTGGCTATTGAATTAAATTGCAACAGCTGCTTTTAAGATTTCCTGATAATTGGAGATGGCAGCCATCTGTCATTGACAGAGGAGTGCTGCTTTTCAGAGTAATGAAGACTCCTTAAACTTCGATTCCAAGGTTTGAACCAACAGATATGGTCACTTTTCCTGTTTTATCTTGCTTAATTAGTTAGTTACTTATTTCCCCCCCCCCCTACTAGTTTATGCAGGGCTTAGTGAATTCTATAGGGCTGGTTGGCATGCATATATAGAGGTGCTGCATGTTACTAGGGCTTTGTTGATTGAGCATTCTGAAGCAGAAAGCATCAGCAAAATCCTAAAGCAGCTTAATAGGAGAAACCAGATCTGTGAGGCACCTGGTTTTACTGTAATGAAAGCTAGGGTGGCTAACCTGTTGGACTCTACCTCCCATGGGGACCAGCTGGCCTGGCCCACAGGCAGGGATGATTGGAGTTGTGGTCTTGCAGGATCTGGAGGGCCAAAGGGTAGCAACCCTTGGTTTAAAGAGAGTGATAACATGCTTTGGAACACCAGTCTCCATGTTTCCGCAGATTACTTGAGAATTCGTTTTTCTCTAATCAAACAGAACAGCCTTTGCTTTTTCAAGCAAGCCTTTTCTAATTGATGCTACTTTAATTAAGTTCTGGATATTGGACCACTGTGAACCCCTAGATGTCATCAGTCTCTTTATATTAAATGTTCTTGAAAAAATTTATGGGGCTTTCATTCTCTCAAACCTTTGAGAGTGGTACACACAATGGAAGAGTTTTAAGGCTTATTAGACAGCATAGTGTCTTGCCTTTTGAGTGTGCTTAAAAGGGCAGCTGGGATAAGCTCAGGAAGAGGAAATGGTGCTACTGTTTAAAAGTGACCTTTATCATCTCCAGGACTTGCTAGAATAATTCCTTGGAGACTTCACTAGCCTCTGTATTCTGATGTTTGGAGAGAGAGAGAAATGAACCCTTTAATGAAACAATAGCAAATGTAAACTGCAAATGGCAAAGAGATGTAAAATGTTGGTGCTCAAATATGACCCTGCGAAAGGGAACCCCAGGGACCATTTAAAAATGTACTGAATTTCTTACACTACTGACTCCTTTCCTTACTTAATGTGTCTTTGTACTTTATAATCTGAAGAACAGCACTCAAAATAAGAATGCTTCATGCATAAAGATGAGTCTAAAGGGGGCATAATTATGTCCAATTGTTTACAACCCTTTTATTGTGCGATAACAGAGTTGGCATGTTGGGTTATTTGTTTTTCCACGTGGCTTTTAAAGGCCTTAAATCCACTGACCTTACTAATAACCATGGCTAACAATGCAGCTCACACTATCCAGCATCTATTTGTGCTACTAAGTGCTTTATCACGAGATTATAACTGAGAAAAAATGTTATATATATATATATCTCCTGGATTCTCTTAAATCCTATTCAGTTGACTTTTCCTGTAAAACCAGTGTGTGATAACTCTCATAATTCACAAGTCATTTAAACAAGATTTGCAAAAACTACATTGTCAAATTTGAAATCTTTCCAGCATTGAAATGCCCACTTTAAAGAACTGTTTAGTTTGGGCTACAGCAGCACTCAGACCACCTGCTTTTGCCAAAGAATTCTCCTACAGAAATTAAGAATATTGTGAAAAGGTAGAGGAAAATCCATTAAACGTCCACAATAAACCTTATGTTTTATTTTACTTGTGTGAAATAAACTATTAAATGTTTCTTGGCAGTGTTTGAAAGCAAAGAAAGTGTGGGGCACAATCTGTTGGGAAGATCTCTTGTACAAGCTGTTGACGTGAATGGCAGCTGTGCAGGAGCTCAGATTCCAGTCTGTACCCATTCATTTCAATAAGGCTTCCACACAAAACTTCCTGGTGGAGTTGTAACCAAGCAGCCCATGCTCTCTCCAAATGTACCACCAACTTTTAATATTTTAACTCTCTAAGTGTTCCTTTTATATATTTTTATCTGCAATGTTTTTTCATGTCAGTTTTAAGGAATGAATTAAGAATAGAACATAATTCATAATGGGTTTTTTAAAGATTTTCAATTTTTAAAGTTTTTTTTATACAATATTGTTCTTTTTTCAATTTCGGGGAGGAGGGAGTTGAGAATTGTAGCTCAAAGAGTTTACCGTTTGAGTCATGTAACTTGTAGCAGTTTTAAGACTATATGGATTTGTGGGTTTTTTAGTTGTTTGAGAGAAATCTTAAGTGTAAAACAAGCATTGCGTATGGTTTTTAAAGCATTTTGTTGGGTTTTCTAGGAATATTGAAAAAGTATTATAGATGTAATTGTTTAACTGGCCAATAAAGTATCCTTTGTTTAAAATTGCAATGGAGTTTTTTTTTTCTTTTAACGTCTCCTCCAGACTGTATGTATTTTATGGGACTCATACTGGAAATTTAGGTTTGAGCAAATGAAGTAGGTGAGAATGCTCTTACCCTGGCATAACAAATCCGCTTTTAAAAAACCCACAAAACCTGACTTTTTGCAGGTTGGAATGTCCTGATACCTAGAAATCCATTTTGGACCATTTTTATCAGTTTAAAGCTGCTATACCATTTCAGCTTTCATTAAGTGGTCAATGAATTTATTTATTACATTTCTATACTGCCCTTCATCTGAAGTTCACAAAGCAGTTTATAACATAAGCGCAGAAAAACATAATAACCAAACCAATAAGTTGCCCCAAATGGTACTGATGGTGCCCAGAAGACCCTGGCTCACTGAGAATGTCCCTCACTCATTAACCATTGTTCCTTGTTCAGTCCAATATCTAGGTGCTGTGTTTCATCAAATATTTCTTCCAGGTGTGTATCACCACACTGATGCTGTCTCTTAGGGGACTTACAGGGTGAGTGGATGGGGAACAAGATTCCAAAGCCTGCTCTTGGGTACGTTCAAAATTAAATAGCAATGGTTGTGCTAGCAGGAGAAGCTAGTGCAACAAGGCTGTTCCCTGCTACCCCCCTCCCCCATCTGCCTCCTCAGTTGGCTCTGGAAGGTCAGGAGGATCCTCAGAACAGCATTGAGTGGGTGGGAGGAGAAACACTTGCTGCCTAAATGATTATATTCATGTGCTGTTCAATTCCATTCCAAATACATAACAATGCATTCCCAGAGCAACCAGTCAGCCTCACACTGGCAAAAAGAATAATGCTGAAACCCAGGTTGAGACAATATGTTGATTCTATACTGTGCCAATTTTTTTTAAAATCCCCATGATTAGATGCCTCGTTTTTCAAAAGCGTATATAATACATTTATTTTTTCCTATGTTCCCTGTGCTCCTTGGATAGCATTGTTGTTGTTTAGTCATTTAGTCATGTCCGACTCTTCATGACCCCATGGACTTGAGTACGCCAGGCACTCCTGTCTTCCACTGCCTCCCGCAGTTTGGTCAGGCTCATATTTGTAGCTTCGAGAACACTGTCCAACCATCTCATCCTCTGTCATCCCCTTCTCCTTGTGCCCTCAATCTTTCCCAACATCAGGGTCTTTTCCAGGGAGACTTCTCTTCTCATGAGGTGGCCAAAGTATTGGAGCCTCAGCTTCACGATCTGTCCTTCCAGTGAGCACTCCGGGCTGATTTCCTTATGAATGGAGAGGTTTGATCTTCTTGCAGTCCATGGGACTCTCAAGAGTCTCCTCCAGCACCATAATTCAAAAGCATCAATTCTTCGGCGATCAGCCTTCTTTATGGTCCAGCTCTCACTTCCATACATCACTACTGGGAAAACCATAGCTTTAACTATATGGACCTTTGTTGGCAAGGTGATGTCTCTGCCTTTTAAGATGTACAGCTATATGCTCTTAAATTAGATACTTAGCTTTCTGACTCTCTTTATGGTAGTAAATGATGGATGACCTATAATTTATGCATATTTTTTAAAAAATTATATGAGCGAGTTAATGTCAGCGAGGTACAATTTGGGATGGATTAATTGTTGTAACTACATACCTGCACCTCTGCTCACAAGGATGGGGGATCTTATGGCCTTCCAGATGTAGCATGGCTGGTAGATGAAATTGTTGTCCTTCAGAGATAATTAATTACAGGTTTCCCATCCCTGTTTCAGCTGTTGTGGGGGATTCTATGGATGGGGAAACACTGCCACCCTGCACTCCTTAGGGAAATGTAATAATACACACCCACCCACCAAAAGGCAATGTTCTTTGAAGAGTAGACCCATTGAAAATAATGGACATAGCTAAGTTAGCTCCATGGATTTCAGTAGGTCTACAGTTATTCCACCAGGCTGCAGAGCAGAGGGAGAGAAAATGGAGGGCTCTGCTCAAGAGGTCTGTTGCCTTTGGCCCTCCTACAGCCCAGCAACAGCCATTCCCCCAGGCTACCCATTCAGCTGCCACCCCACCTGGTTGCTATCAGAGATGCAACTTTAAGGTGGAGTTTCCACACATCCAAGATTTCAAAGGCGGAAGTGACGTTCAGAAGGTGGTGGTTCGGCCTGGATCTTTAGCAAGTAAACCAAGAAATCGCATCATTTTGGCACAACAACTTTTGGCCTCTCCTTAAAAAAAACTCAACAATTTCAGTGGTTTCCTCAACAAGCACAACTCTACTTTAAGTACAGGAGTCTTTTGGCTGAAAAGGGTGGGGAGCAAAAGTGCTTTCTTCACATAATTATTTATTTAAAGTCCTGTAGTAAAAAGGAAAGCAGGAATTTTTTTAAAAAAAAAATGATAAAGCGTTTAAAAAAATCTTCAGAAGTAGACTAAATTTATGATAAAAAAATATGTATTCAGCTATACATGCTGAATCTCAAAGCAAAGATTGCCACCTAGTGGACAACTAAACCACATATGCTCAGAAATCCATCACCTTCAAATCGTTGGAGAGCGTAAGAGATATTACAATAAACAGCAGATGAGGTGGTTAATTAACCATAGCTCAATGGTATAGATTTGCATGAAAAAAGTTCCCTGTGACATCCCTGGCATTCCTGTCCCAAGCAGGACAGGAAGAGATTCTTCACTGAAGCCCCTCTGAGACAGAGGTTTTTTCCAGCGTGTGCAGGTGCGGCGCTGCGGGTCGTGAACATGCCTCCCGCACGGATCACATTCATAACCCGAGGTTCCACTGTACTAATTTGTTAATTTGACAGACACAGGCTGTGTACATGCTTCTGTTTGCTCTGCATCCAGTGAACTCTCACTGCTCGTTTGAGAAGCACTGTACACACATTAGTCACAATCCATACCTATTCAGTTGTTTCTTAAGAAATACTGCTTTTTGATGCACTTCCCTGCCCCCCAGCCAGCTTCATTCAAAACTGAGGAAAAAGAATGACCGCATTGTTTAAGCCAGTGATGTGTACACTGCCTTAAAACTGCAAGCCTTTAGGGCAGGGGAGGACTTAACAAAGGCAGTTTTAACTGCCTCATCCCAACATCCTGCTGGCCTCTCATAGGCAGGGTGAAAAAATGGAGGGCTCTGCTTTCCTCCATCTGATTCCGGCCTAAAATAATAACACTTTTTCCCACCCACCTACCCACTTCCTCATTCATTGAAGAGGATCAGTGGCACTCAAAAGCATGTGTATGTTTTATTCTAGTTTGGGGCAGAGGGAGTGCTAGGGGTAAGGTAGGCTTGGGATCCCAACTGCTTCCTGGAACACTCCCCAGCACACCCCCATTTGGATGTCGTAAGTGGGTTGGCCGGTGATTCAGAGGAACTGGTCTTGTTATTGTGGTTGTTATGTACTGAGTTGAATAGGATCCAAAAGGCAGCAGTCTGATTGGTCCTAGAACAATAGGATTCAGAATGCAGCAGTTTGATTGGTCCAAAGGAGCCACCCAATCCAGCTCCAGGTGGAAGGGAATCCGCAACCTGATTGGCCTACAGGAGAATCCTGGAATTAGCCAATCACGTGGGGCCCATTGTGTAAATAATGTATATAAGGCAGACATTCTGGGGGAACTTCCATTCCTCCTCACCACTATGAGCTGAATAAAGAGCATGAAATCCACTCTTGACTCTGAGTATATTTCAGTGGTGGAGGTTGACTCCAGCATTAGGTAGTTCTCTTTGACATCAGCGCTCTGTCTCTGATGCGAGAGGTCATTTAATATATCCTATGGCCAGTGCCATTTTTCTAGAAAAAGAGGTGTCGGAACTCATCATGAATGTTTCCCTTGTACTCTTATAATAGCAATGGCGCCCACCTGAGAAGTGCCAGAACTGAGTTTCGGCTGGGAAAAAAACCCTGCCAATGGCCACTCACTACCCTCCAGAATTCCACATAAAAATGGAGACATTCTATTAACGTGATGATTTCTGCCCTTTTTCACTAGGGCAGTCGCTCATGTGCAGTAGCCTCCATGTGCAAAACTTAAAACCACATCACAGGAAACACTAGTTTTTAACCATTTGTTATGGCAAAAATGCACCAGGAAGTCTTTACAAGCCACAAATAAGGTATGAATTTGCCCACAGTGGTTAGCAACGTAAAATAAACAAGCATCATGTTATCCATTTAAAGTACTGGCTTCTAATCGCTGCTGCTTTTACAAACAACTAATGTGATACCACCCTGGAGAGTTTTTAAAAAAAGTTTTTAGAGAATCAGACTTTCAAACATGTGCTACTTATGCTACATGGTCATTGTAAGTAAATTGTTATACCTAGCAAGCAAAAGAACAATATAATAGATATTTGTTCTATATATTCTTGTGCTCTCTTCTGTTCTATTTATTGGACATACTTAAATGATGCATTTTTTTAAAAAAAAAACTAGTTTCTCATTATTTTAGTCAGGTTTGTTTTTAACCTAATGGGTAATATTCAGCTAAGTTCTACCCAGAGTAGAATCACTGAAATTAGTATACTTACCTGAATCATGTTTGTTCATTTTAAGTGATCTACTCTTTTAATGGATCTACTCATAATGCTGCCAGGCTCACTTCTGGATAGACATGCATAAAAAGGTAAAGGGACCCCTGACCATTGGGTCCAGTCATAACCGACTCTGGGGTTGCGGCGCTCATCTCGCTTTATTGGCCAGCATGACTAAGCCGCTTCTGGCGAACCACAGCAGCGCCATTTACCTTCCCACCGGAGCGGTACCTATTTATCTACTTGCACTTTGAGGTGCTTTCGAACTGCTAGGTTGGCAGGAGCAGGGACCAAGCAACGGGAGCTCACCCCATCGTGGGGATTCAAACTGCCGACCTTCTGATCAACAAGCCCTAGGCTCTGTGGTTTAACCCACAGCGCCACCTGCGTCCCAGAGACATGCATAGGATAGCACTAAATTTCACAAGTCAATTTCCCCCCTGTAATCAGACATTTCCACAGCCAAATGGGAGCATCTG